TCTGCTCTCATTAGTAAAAAATCAATAAAATTAATCTTTTTTACATCGTAAAGGGCACTTAAGTATTGTAAATTAGTACAACACAATATTGATTGTGTTGAATGTTTTATTGTGCTACACAACAGGAAAAAAAACTTGAACATACGGTTGCCAGTCAAAATAAATATAAGAAATATAATTTAGAAATATCGTTAATACCTTTTAGATGAGACTATCGACTTTTGCTTAGTAGATAGAAACTACCATGCATGTTGTTATCTTTCATGTTATACAGGCTAGCTTTCAGAGCCAAAATATATCTAGTCTCATATGGACGGTTTTAGAATACATACATTCACACATGAAAGTTTCACATTATAAATGTTGCCTAATCTTGTAAATTCAATGTTTTTGATATGCAGATGACACAATTTTGTGATTACACAAAAAATTTATCAACACTAAATTTATCGAAATGGTAATGAATTACGGTATTGTAAAATTTACCTTATTAGTTAAGATATCTTACATTAATTTTTTTTAAAACTATATAATATTCTTAAATGTCCAATGGTGCCAAATGGCAGTTTTCATACCTGGTGGTGCATGTCACCAAGGCAAGCATTAGGCCCAAAGGACTCCTTGTGCTTACTCTGGTTGGATGCACACCAGATGCGAACCCTATTTTTCCGACTGAGGGCACATCCGACTATCAAAAACGCCCAAGCTAAGAAAATATTATTTTTATACAAATTTCGAATTAGTTGTATAAAAAAACTTTTCTGTAGGGTTTAGTAGAGGTTTGTAGATTTATTTATCATGTTTCTAAAGACTTGCTTTTTAAGAAAAACCTATACGTATAAATATTCATTCGATAATCACTCATAGTAAGACTCATACTGAAAAGTTAGTTAAATATTTTAACAATATGTCAAGAAAATATGTGAAGTTAAAAATTGTATGACAATTGAGGGGGATGCATAAAAACTAACGGGAATGATAAAGTATGTCTGTATATAATACTGACGTAATAATAAATCAATTATGTTGATTATACATTTTGGGGGATCGCAGAGGTAGTTAAAAAACCTAGAGGCAAGCAGAGACGCGAGGTCAAAACGGGGGTGGAGGCTGCTGGGAAGTAAAAACATTTTTAAATACGATACAAACAACACATCTTTACTTAAATTTGTGGAAGTCCGCAGAGGGCTAAAGAGAAACCGTAAGCTGGGTGGGTAGGGGAGGCGAAAAGGAGCGTGATGGGTAACATTTAAAAAAAAAGCAACAAAAATACCCATACTTCTACGTTAAATTATGACTACATTTGACTAGAGTTCAAAACTTGTGGTGGTGTGGGCAGTAGTAGGGCGCTATCACTGTCGCCGCACACATATTAACCATATAATATAAGAACATATGCATTTATGCATTTATGAGATAAACATTTATACCAATTTGTAAGGTTTCACTCCTCTGCCCCCTCCATGCGACAGTCCACTTAATAATGAAAATCAATGTTAGAATTAAAATATTAGAGACATTTGTAGAACATTTCTTTTTTCTTCTCCTAATAAACTTTCTTTTTTTGTATTTTATTGTGTGAATATTAAAAAAAAAGTTGACGCATGTTTTTATGAAACAATACTGAAAACTAAATAATTATAATTTACTAACTTTAAAATCTAGAATGATGATATATAAGCTATTCATTATAAAAGCAATTTTTGTATCATATAAGATTAGTTCATCATAAAAGCAATTTTTTTTACTAAAATTTTTAATATTAATCTGAATTTAACGTTAATTTTAATGTCATATTATTTAAGAATATAAATACTTTTTACGTTGAGTTTTAGTTATGAAACGAAGAAACTTAATTCAAACTATAACAAAACCATAAAATTAATAACATATTACCAAGAAATCAATACTTTGTACAGTCACTGTTTTCTTACAGTAATTTGATGTACGAAAAGGTGCATTATTTATTAAGTACAACTTTTTTTAGATATCTTAGTAAATTGTTTATTGTATATTTTTAATACGTGGAAAAGAAAAAGTAAAACTAGTATTGAGCAACAATTATCAAATAAGAAAAAGTAAGCTGTTCTCTTTTCCCAACAGAGTTCAGAGAGATCAAATTCAAAGTAAGAAATAAATCTGCGTAAGTATGTAGTTACTGTAACTGTTAGTTTATAAATACTAATTAGTTCATTATTTTCAGTTAATTAATGGTTCTTTTTATATATAATCGACTATTTTTTATTGTAAAAAATAATCGTAAACTTTCAACCTCTTATCTTTATTTCTGCTTACTCCTTTTTAATAATTTGCTACATTTAATAGTTTGGTTTCCTAGAATTATAATGTTTAACTTTACCATGTTATTTAACTTATGTTTTAACAATTTTGTAACTTTTACTTTGTATTTATATATATACTTTATAATTTTTCATCTTCTTTCTTTATTCTACTGTGATTATTAACGTTTAATTTAGTGTAAAGATAATAAATATAGTGTAAATGATGTTGATTTTGATAATGACATCCTTGTATGTTTATAGTTAAGTTTAGTA